AGCTACTCAGTACACCAAAAAAGAAACCATAGAGATTTTGAGAAAAGAGTATTTTCCCCTATCACTCTTGAGTCTATTCAGACTGGTGGGAAAAATCAAATTCACATCAGACAAATTAATGAGAGAAAATACTGACTTACATCTGGGAACCCACATAGACTGAAGAGGTTTAAGGACAGAAAGAGAGGGATGATTATCATTCCAGTCTCACAAACGGGGTTGAGTCCTAGAGTGTAAAGGAGAAAGAGGTTAATTCATATGAAAGGACAGATGTTCCATTGTTATTTACCCTGCAGTACAGAAAGGTCATAAAAAGCCATTTCCAGTAATAAGTCCCATCATGGGCAAATCCCCAATTTAAAGCCTTCTAGATAATTAAGAGGGAAGCAAAAGTTTCTCTAGGGCCTTGATTGCCCTGAGTATAGAACATTCTGTGTGCCAGACTGGCCTGTCTTGGGAATACCTGTTCTGAACAAGGCCTATTGGAACGTTCTGGAGAACGGCCTGTTCTGAACCTCTTGGGAAGGTGTGTGCAGGACCCTAGGAACTGAGCTCTCTTTTCATTATCACTGAGGGTTCTGAGGATGGAAATAAAGCTTGTTTCTCTGTAGTGGAGAGACTCATGAGAGATGCTCTCATACTCAGAGTGATTGAGAAGTGAACCGACCAGTGGTGGCTTGGGATATGGCAGAAGAGGGTTTAGTGAGGAAATCTGTCTATCTCTACCATACCGTGTGTGTGTGTGTGTGTGTGTGTGTGTGTGAGAGAGAGAGAGAGAGAGAGAGAGAGAGAGAGAGAGAGAGTCCCCCAAGGACATGAATTTAGCTAAGCCAAACTGGCAGAAGAGGGTTTAGTGAGGAAATCTATCTCTACCTTGCCGTGGTGTGTGTGTGTGTGTGTGTGTGTGTGTGTGTGCGTGTTTTGAAGGAGGGCAGTCCTCAAGGACATGAATTTAGCTAAGCCAGACTGACTACCTCATGCCCCAGATTTCATTTTTCTTTTCTTTTTTATGATTTTTTTTTATGCCACACTAGACTGTGCTCAGGGCTTACTCTTGGGTCTGCACTCAGGGATCACTCTTGGCAAATATCAGGAGTCGCCATGGAGTGTCTAGGATCAAACCCAGGTAGCCACATGCCAAGCAACCACCCTGCCCCCTTTACCATCTCACCAACTCCTGAACCTGGTTTTCTCCATGGTTCCTGGAGGTTCAAAAATCCTTTCATCAAAAACCTAAAAGTTTGTTCAGGTTGGTTGCAGCCAAGAACAAATAACAGCATTTTTTTTTTCCTCTGGAAGATTATCACTTCATCCTGGCTTTCCAAAATACAGATAATATTTCAAGAAAAGTCAGTTGTTCGCAATGAAATTTCATAAAACAGTCACAAATCCCCAAAATAGTTCACCAACATGAGATATAGCGGAATAGAATCATCATATCCCTTAATGTAAAATAATTCCAAAATAAATAATAATATATGATGCTGCTTTTAAAAATAAATGAGAAACTTGACAGCATTAGCAAAAAAGAGGATATTGGGGGTAGGGAGATAGCTCAATGGGTTGGTATGTATGTGTCTTCAAGGCTGGAACCCCAGGATCCATCCCTAATTTTATCCCAGCACCTCCAAGAGCACTGAATTGGGGGTAGCCACCCCCAGCGAGATCGGATGCAGCAGTATACCATTCTCCAAAAGTGGAAGAAATAGGATATTATAAAGCATGGCCAAGTAGAAGTAAAAGGATGAAATAGAACTTAAAAATTAAAACAAACATCATTAATGTTATGAATGCATTAGGTTGAACAAGATAGTTGAAGAGAGAAATCGTGACATAGAATAGAATGCAGACGTAAAGTAATCAACTAGCAAGCAGTTCACCCAAAGGATGGAAAGTATATAAAGAGTAGTTAAGCATCCTGGAAAAGAAGAGATCTTTCCAGAAAATGAAGAACTCATAATTGGGACAAGCCATCTGCTGAACGCAACTGACTCATAGTATCACCATGAAAATAATACAGCTATCTTTAATATCAAAGTAAACTTTAAAGCAAAAAAGCAGTACTAGAGGTTCTGTTTTGCTCACAATGATTTTTAATTTGTTCACATCTAGCAGCACAATTTCAAAGTACAAAGAGTAGGAGGCTAGAGAAACAGGACAACAGGTAGGGCAGTTGCCTTGCATGTGGTTGACCTGGGTTTGATCGCCAACACACGGTCCTCTGAGCCTCATCAGGGATGAGCATCGAATCAGCAGTAAGCCCTAAGCACTTCCAGGTGTGCCCCTCTTTCTCCCCTCCCCCCCAAAAAAACCCCTCAAATTACAAAGGTAAAAATCATCAAAAATACAACAAATTGGGGGATGAAGAGAGAGTCCAGTGGGTAGGGCGCTTGCCTTGCATGTACCTGGCCTGAATTTTAGCCCCAGCACCTGATACTCCAAGCACCCCCAAGAGTGATTCCTGAGCACAGGTGCAGGAGTAAGTCTTTAGCACCCCCTGGAATGACCCCCAAACAAGTCAGAAGTACAATAAATCAATAGAAATAGGTAAATCTACAAAGAAAATTTTAACAAACCATTTTCGTGATTGAGAGAGAAAAATGCCCCCCCCCCCCGCAAATTCTTAAGGTCATTGATTTGAGCAAAATGATTCACAAATGACTTAACAGACTTAGTTAAATCAAAGACTACAGAGTACGCATTCTTTTTAGACATATACCAGAACATTTAAAAGTCCTTTAAAAAAATAATTAGGCCATGTACTAGTTTTCAACAAATTTTCAAAGATTGAAATCATACATTATGTTCTTTGAGCACAAGAAGATTTAGGCAAGTAAACAACCTGCAGCAAATAACAGAGGATAAACAGTCTCTTCACACACATACTGTCAGGTGAAAGAAGTCAAGATACAAAAGCAAATGTGTCATATAATCTCATGTACAAAATTTATACATCATTTATTATGTACAAAATTTATACATGAGGCAAGATTCATGTTTGTGTATACATATTAAAATAGAAAAAGAACAGCAAAATAAAAACAATGATTACCATCCACATCAAGTTAATTGCCCTCTGGAGGGTAGGGGTCATGTTCAGAGCAGAGCATCTTCGGGTCATGTTCAGTGATGCCGTTAGAAATGTCAGAAATATAATTAACTGTCTCTGTGCGGCTGTTCTTGCAGATGAACTTTAGAGTGATGTTGCCAAATTCCCTGAAATATTTCAGTTGGATATCTATTTGAACTGTGTTCAGTTTGTTGATTTCCTCTGGGATTATTTGCATTTATGAAATATTGAGCTTTCTTTGCTAGGGATTTTGATATGTCTGGAGTTATTCAGGTGTTGTTCTAGTTAGAAAATACTTTTTCTTTTTCATGTAAGTTGCACATTTTTTGCTAAGCAGAATGCAAAGTATTTTATTAATTTTGTATATAAGTGAAGCCCATTCTCCTTGTTTTCTGACTATTGCTAATATGTAAGAAAGTCATGGACTTTTTGCTGCTAATTTTATTATTTGCATTAATTTCAGTTGTTTATTTTAAAATAATGTTTGTTGGGTTTGGGGTGCATGACTTCAAGTTTTCATTTTAAAATAATTTTGCCTTTGCGTATTCCTAGTTTATATTAAAGAAAATGAGACTTAGAGATTGTTCAAGGTCACACAACTTGAATAGTGGTTAAGACTGGGGTTTTAATCCAGTTATATCTAATCGAAACCTTTCTGGCAGGGGATTATTTATCATTTTCTCTGATAAATTTAATTCAACAACAAATTATAATAATTCAGTATCAAATTATATATGCTATGGAGATGAATGAGATAATGAATGTAAATTGCTTTGAAAGATTCAAGAAATATAAATGAACTCTAAATTATTGTAGCAATTTCACTGTGAAATTGAAGGTAGAAGATAGTTGGATAGCTAAGATCTGGCATTGATTTTCAGTAGTTTGAAACAGTTTTCTTCCGCAGTGAAGGGGGGTAGGGAACACACCAGGCTGTGCTCAGGGCTTACTCCTGGCCCTGTGCTCAGGAATCATTTCTGGTGGGCTCAGGGAATTATATGGGTGCTAGGGATTGAATCCAGGTCTCCCATGTACAAGGCAAGCACCCTGCCTGCTATACTACAGCAGCTCTAGCCCTCTTAAAACTTTTTGATCTGAAAACCAGCACCTCCACTGCATTAGAACAGCGAGTTTCAGCCTTCTGTACCTCTGGACCAATGGTTGAGGAATGCTGGTTTAGAAAACCTTGTACTATAGCACTATCCTCCCTTATTCATTGATTTGCTTGAGTGGGCCCAGTAATTTCTCCATTGTGAAACTTGTTAAAGTTTTTAAAAAAATCTAGAACTTTTTTAATTTATAAAACCTCTGAAATGCTGTTTGTGGTGCTTGTCTTGAGTTTGATTTTGGTTTTGGGGCCACACTCAGTAATGGTCAGGACTTTATTCCTGTGCTCAGGGATCACTCCTGGTAGAGCTCAGGGGACCACATGCAGTGCCAGGGATCAAACCAGGGTTGGCACTATGCTACAGACTTGCCACAGTACTCTCTCCTACCGATTGTACAATCTTTCTAGCCCTGTTCTTTTTCTCCCTTCAATATTCTAAATTTAGTGAACCAATTAAATACTGATAGTGAGCACTTTAACATTTCCAAGGAATGTTTAAGACAAAAGAACCAAGAACATGTTCTTCCTTTCACTCAACATAAATTTAATTCGACACCTTCAATTTCTGCACCTGACACTTTCTGTCGATGCTGAGTCTTAAATACCTTCAAAATTTATCTTGAAGCAAGCAAAATACATACAAAAATAAACCCTTAAAATCTACTTGTACTTTGTCTCACTTTTTCTTGCTTTAGATCTTCCAGGTACTGCATCTGACTCAGGTGCCCTAAGTAGAAGAGACGTGCCCTTTCTTCCCAACACACACACCACTACTGTTTTCAGTGCCATAGATGTGACTTGAGGTGCTTGGTCTCTCCCCAGGAATCCTGAAGTGGGTTAAACTGATCGACAACTTTGAAGGAGAATATGACTATGTGACCAACGAGGGGACGGTGTTCACCTTCAAGACCAATCTCCACTCTCCCAACTATCGCCTCATCAACATCGACTTCACGGACCCTGAGGAGTCCAAGTGGAAAGTGCTCGTTCCTGAGCACGAGAAAGATGTCTTGGGTGAGATTGACATGCCGCTCGAAAGTGGGGGGCATATGTCTTGGGTGGAAGCCCAACATGGGGCTGCTTGTGATCGTGGTGCTGAAACACAGCAGCTAGCTATCACATGACAGCTTTTGTGATTGAAGTTTTAGATCAGGGCCCCTGTACAAGTTGTGAAGGCTTGTGAATCCAGCCTTGAAAAGGTATTGCCTTTTTTTTTTTTTAATCAGTGGTCTTTGTGTAGTTATTATCTAGTGATAATCATTCCCATTTAGAATTTCAAACCATTTAGATGCAGAAGCCTTAACTCTCAGCTTTGTTTGCATTTTACCTACTATTACAGATCTTGGAGTGAATGCTCAGTCCTTATTAGCAAAGAGAATAGGCCATTGTCAAATTTAATTGAAATCCATTGCTGTGGCCACAGAGTGCACTGAGCTGCTTTAGCCTCCTGAGAACCTCCCTGACTTCCCTTATCAGCAGCACTGCTGCGTCCCTTTACGGCCCCTTTTATTCATTTCCTCTGTGCTTTTTCTAAAAATGAAATGCTACTTCATCAATTATTTATTGCCAGGGTTTGATGGGACTAAAGCTCACAAAGGAGCCTTCAGTACCATCAAGCCTAGGAAGAGTTTCTCTGTTGGCTGGGCTGGCTGGAGCTAAAAGCAGTGGCGAGTCCGGGTACCAGTTGTGAGGTGCAGAACTGGGGAAATGATGCCTTTTGAGATATACAGAGTGGCTCATCTCAGAATAGTGCCTTTTGTAGATAACTCTTTTGGTTTGGGGGCCACAGTCAGCCGTGCTCAGTAATTTACTCCCAGCTCTGTGTTCGGGGTTCACTCTTGGCGCTGCTCAGGGGACCGTGTGGGGTGTCAGGGATCGAAATTGGGTCAGCCATGCACATGACAGGCACCTTCACCTCTGTACTGTCTCTGCGGTCCCAATCCTTAGACAGATTTTTGTTTTTGTTAAATGAATCAAAGTACAACTGTATAGGAGACAGGTCTGTCTCACATCCTCGAATGTAAAGGGCTCTTTTCTCCACTGGCCCAAGGGGAGAGTGGCCTTGGATGAGGAGGAAGATGGACAGGGATTCCAGCTGATTCTGCAGACTGTGTCTTGGGGCACGCCTGCTCAGCCCTTGGAGGAGGCGCTTCTCTAGGTATCAGCTTGGGATACTCTTCAGTCTTTGGACATCTGACTGTCCTACGACACCTTCTTTGTCCCGAAGTCATCTGTAGTGCACTGGACAGGACCCAGTATCTCGTGCCCACTTTTTCCTGCAAATCATGCCTCTCAGATCTTCCGACAGTTGACCGTTTCAGGCTCCTCCTTTAACGTGCTCAATCAGCCCTTCTTCTGCCTTCTTGGTGTTCATTCTGAAGTCGGTGGGTCCCACAGGTGACTTGCATGAAGCGGGGAGGAGAAAGATAGTCACTTACTCCCCATCCGCCTCTGCAAACCAGGACCCAGGGCTACTGGGTTCTTGTCTCGCCTCATAGAAAAGAATTTCAGGAGTAGACAAACAGTGACAGATTTTATTTGGAGGTTTTGAAGGGAAGGAGGAAGAGAAAGTGGGAGAGAGTGGGGAGTAATGTGCTCCAGAGAACCTGAACTTCTCCGAGGGTGGAGAGAGCTCCTATATACACCCCAGCATTAGACATGAAAGTACACATCTCAGGAGGGGAGACGCGGGCAAGACATGTGCTCAGCCATGTGGGCACAAGCAGCACATGGGCTTGGGCAATATATGTGTGCCCTTCCTTTTTTCAAGAAGGGTTTCTCCAACCTGCCCTGACTTGGGGCCTCTACCTAAGTTAAAGTCCTTTTCTAAGGAGGTTGCCGAGGGCTAAAGAGCAGTGATGGTCTTCTTTGAAATACCTTTCCTGGCCTTTTGTTTCTGCTGGAGCTTTTCTGGGTCTGTTGCAGGCACCAGGTGATGGTCTTCTTAGGCCTTAGTTCCTGTTTTCTGCAAGGTTGACCTTCACAACTCCAAAGCTACTACTACCCAGGAAATTTACTGCCATTGCCTGGGAGGGGGACTTTCCTCCCTGCCTACCTGCCTACATCAGTTCCGTGCATCTCTCCAGTTTTCAGTGCTTGGATTCCACCCCAATGTGCTCTTTGCAAGGAATTCTCACTCATTGTTTTGCTCCAGGCCATCTGTACACTCTCTGATCCTCATTTACACTTGTATAAGGGACCCACAATTGACCATAGACTGCAGTTCCTGGTTTGGGAGCCATTTCCATCACATCTTCAAGCAAAGGATCTGTTACTCCATGACTCTGGCTTGAGTGCTCCTGGCCAGACCAAGACAGGAATGGAACCTCTCTTCCCCAGATGGCAACAGCCGCTCTTATGGATCCTGTTTGCGTTGCATATGGATGGGCCTCATGCATTGGTGCATCTGAAAACAATTTCAAGGCACCAGACTCACGGATGCCCTCCGTGTTTTTCAGGGGTGAGGTACTTTGAAACAGAGATCGCTAACCCTCAGAGATGTGCATATGTCCCAAGGCAGTTAAGAGCCATATCTGACTTTGAAAACCAATGCAGTTTTAACTAAGCCTTAAGGTGACATCCTCTCTCATTTGTGGATCTAATGAAATGCAAATCGGTGTTCAGAGATTTGGGGAAGGGGGTTAATATATTTTTATAACCTTGCTTCTGAAAGTTTATAAGTTCTCGAGACTGCAAAGGGGAAAACCTTCAATATTCCGTGGAACTCATCAATTCAAAGGGAAGCACCATTGAATTTGCCATATATCATTAGCACAGCGTGCCCTATTGAGAATAAAAACGCAAGATGAGTCATAAAGTACAGCTATAAAGTCAGAGCTTTTATTAAAAGACAGTCTGTAAATCACCTTGTCCTTTTCTCATTCACGTTGTCTGTTCTATAATTCTGACGCATTTGTAGTTAACACGGATTGATTATTCCTTGAGAGGAAATGATTTACTTTCTCCTCCGCCCGCTGCCCCATACTTGCTATGAAACATTAAGGCCACATGAACTATATCGCTTGATTCAGGGATTTTGAAAATGCTCCTGAACGGGGATCAAATCACTTTTAGATGAAAGAGTTCTTTATAACCTCCCTTGAGGAAAACCAAATAAGACCAAGGTCCCCCTGTGATCCCAAAGTTCCCTCTGGCCAATGTCTTGTTCTTGTTGGTAACTGGTAACATTTAGAAGGTTGAGCTGCTGGTTTCTTGGGTTATAATGAGTAGCCCTGTCAAGAGGCCCTGGTCTGATAGATCTTAAGATCTTAAGACCAGTCCTGCCTCACCCACAGCCTCGGCCCTGCCATCTCTGCCTCTGAGCGGCCTGTGCCTAGCCCGGGAGGCAGGATTGTGACCCTGCACCTCCACCTCCTTCCCGACCCCCACAGCACCACATCCTGGGGCTTTTCTTCTTGAGAACAGATCTTCCACATCTCACTCTCCTTTTCCAGACCTTATCTCCAGTGCCACTGACACTCGTTCAGGTCTTCTCTCCCCCGCCCCCACCTTTTTTGGGCGTGCTTTTGTGTCTTATTTATTTATTTAGTTATTTATTTACTTTTAATTGACTCACTGTAAGATACATAGTTACAAAGTTCATAATTGGTTTTCAGTTCTTCAATGTCCCAACAACCCTCCCTTCACTACGGACCATTTCCCACCATCAGTGTCTCCAGTTTCCCTCCCACCAACCCCCCTGCCCCAGCCTGTCTCTATGGTAGGCACTTCTCTCTCTCTCTCTCTCTCTCTCTCTCTCTCTCTCTCTCTCTCTCTCTCTCTCTCCCCCCTCCCCCTTTCTCTTCTCTCCCCCCTCTTTCTACCTCACCTCTCTCTTCTCTCCCCTCTCTCCCTCTACCCCTCTACCCTGTCTTTCAATCCCTCTCTCCTTTTGGGTATTTTGATTTGTGATACAGATACTGAAAGGTTATCATGTTTAACCCTTTACCTGAGTGATCATTCGGTTCTTCTCCAGAGTGATCATTTCCAAGTATCGTTTTCATAGTTGTCCCTTCTTTATCCTAATTGCCTTCCCCCACCACCTCTTGTCACAAGCTTCCTACCGTGGACAAGTCCTCCTGACCCTTGTTTCCACTCTCCCTCTTCTTGACACTCCCACCTCCCTTACTCTCCCCCCCCCCCACCTCGGGCCGGCAGTCAGGCAGACACGCGGCTTCACTCATGTTATCCTGTATGTCACTCTAAAGTCCCAAGAGCTGCCTCACAATGGCAACTCTGATAAGAACTACACCCACAGATGCTCCAGAGAGTAATTTAAACTGTGTCCCCAGCATCACATGTGTCTTTTGCTTCTTGAGCATGATTTTCTGTGTATCAGTCTCTTGCTCCCTTCCGCTCTGCGGTTCCTATATTCTTTCTCTCCTCATTCCAGATCTGACCTTCATTCCTTGAGTCGCCATTTTCTGCCAGAGCTGTCGTGGTCTGAACAGCACCCCACCAAGTCACACTGCCACGCCCAATGCACCCGATGGAAGGCAGAGCCTCCCTGGGTTTGGCATCATGTTCTCCTTTATGTACACTCCTGCATTTCTCTGCTTCCGTGTGTCCAACGTCATCTCATGGCCTTGGTGGTGTCTCACCCAATCTTTCCCCCCAGGGACTGATACCTTGAGTGCAGTTAGGGGGTGCTTTCTGTTTGTTTATAGTAAGGGATTTCTCGGAGTGAGGTACACAGTAATATATATATTTTCCCCCCCTCTGAGAAGGGCTGAACAAATTTCTGTCCTGGTTCGTTTTTCAAGCTTTGCTCAAGAGCCCTTTTGTAGTACCCCAATGTATTTTGCTGTATGCCAAGTAAAAGTCTGAACATCTCTGAGTCCAGGCCTGCGGGCCACCTGGTATGACTCAGGGTTTGTTGATGGCTGTTTCCCCTCTGCATCTCCTGGAGGGAGCTGTTAGCTGCAAAGCAGGCAGGGAGTGGGGTTATCTGCGCCACCCGCTTTGTGTAACCAACATCACCAAAGCACCCTAGCCCACCACTGAGAATCCTGTTTCCTCTGGACAGGGCAATAGCTATCCTGCATTAAAAGGGTAGACTAGAAGCTGGCTGCATGCCTTGAGAATGACCACGGTTAATCCCTTTGCCAGTTTTTTACGGCCACCAGCACAGCCCCTGGCTCAGAAACTCTTCATTCCCTGGGATTTGTCTTCCAGAGCCACATGAGGCTTTGCTCTTCTTTTCAGAATGGGTGGCGTGTGTCAGGTCCAACTTTCTGGTGCTGTGCTACCTCCACGATGTGAAGAACACGCTGCAGCTGCATGACCTGGCCACCGGCACGCTCCTCAAGTCCTTCCCGCTCGAGGTGGGCAGCATTGTGGGCTACAGTGGGCAGAAGAAGGACACTGAGATCTTCTACCAGTTCACGTCCTTCTTATCTCCAGGTGAGAGTCCCGGCTCCGTGCAGGGTGAAAATTCATTCTTTCAGGTTTTCCTTTGAGACATGGACACATGAATCTGTGTTACTGAAAAGCACAGAATTACCTTGCGTCCAGAATTCCCTCCCCAGGAATAAAACCCATCAGACAGATTCTCGGTTAACCAGAGGAATGTGAACGCCTGAAACTGCCTTTACTCCTGTGTTCTGAACCTCTGCTCTGGGGACCAACCAGATGGTGTCTTGTGTAGGTTGATTACAAAACCTTAGCCTAACTTTGGATGCAGTCTTTGACCTCTGTGTCCACAGTGCAGATAGATGCCTAAAAGCACAAGCCTGTTAAGTCCCATTTGACTTGTAAAAATTGTTTTCTAGGGCCTGGGAGATGATGCAGCAGTTGTAGCGCCCAGCTGAACTGGGTTCAATTCCTAGTACCACATAGTCCTCCTGAGCAAGTACAGCTATTGAGGCCCCCAGCCCTGGGGGTGAAGGTACCTGGGTACCTGGCCTCTCATCCCATATATTTAAAAATGTATTACTTGGGGGGAAAACTTGCAAAATGAAGTTGTGCATTTAATGGTCTGGTTTCATATGTATGACCCAGAGTGAAAGTAGTTCTCCAGTTCTCTTTTTAGTATCTTTTTGTTGGGGCTGACCATGTGTGCGTGCTCTTTGGTCCCAGGTCCCAGTGAGCATGGTTGGCAGTTTGCAGGTGACCAGGAAAACCTTGTCCTAAAGGCAATCTGGCTGAGTCAGTTTCTGCCCTTGTTTCTTTTTTTTTCTAACTCCCCATAGAACCCTGGTGAGTCTCGCAATTTGGTTCTTGGCATATGAAGCCAGAGCAGGGTGAGCTAGTGGCTTCCTGCGTCGGCTTCCTGGGGGTTTGGCCACACAGTGATGTGTCATCCACTTTGAGGTTTTATGTCTGTTTATTTGTTTGCATCTCAGACTCACAGCATAGGCAATCTATAAGGATTTATCCTCACAACAGGTTGCTGTCAAGGTTATAAAAGCCAAATGAGTGATGTTCTGTACCCAGATCTGAGAGGGTACGCTCTTCCCACAGGCCTTTCCGGGAGCAGGTTGTTGGCGGGGTGTGGGATGTGCCCCAGAATGTGAAAACCAGGTCTAGAGTGGGGGATCAGGATCTTGCAGGTCTTGGACCCCATATCCAAGTGACCAGAGCCTCACCTCTCATCCCCCAGAGCCCGGAACACAGCGGCAGCTGGTAGGCTGTAGCGGAGGAAAACATGTTCTCCTGAGAGCTGAACTCAACCCCCCCACCCCCCTGCTGTGGGAACACACACACACACACACACACACACACACGTGTATTTTCCAAGCTTGCACTTGTTCCAGAAGGTTCACTCTGGGAAGTGTCATTAGCTTCAGCAGTTTTTAAATGGGTGAAGGGCGAAGAGGAGCACAGATTAGGGGTGACTCACCTGTACTTCATACAGGCCAGAGTCTCCAGAGGTCTGTAAACTTCCTTCAGTGACCCCGCATGGCCATTTATTTCAGGAAGCAGCTCATTCTGGGAAGAAAGGGCTCATTGTCCTAGTGTGAGATGATGGATTCCGTGTCAGACTATGAAATACTACTCGGGACTGGCACAGTGAGGTGGGGGGGGGGGGGGGCGGGAGAGAGAGAGAGAATTTTTTTTACCCTTAGAAATCACCAAAGGACATACCCACTGCCCTCAAAAAAAAAAAAAAGAATAGCGCAGTTCTCTCTGATTTATGATTCTAGGATATTTACTCCCAGTACAGCTTTTTTTTTTTAATTTAATTTTTTCCTGATGATTGGGGTTCTGTGATTGACAGTACTGTTATTGGTGGTTTCTCGTGGACGTGATTCTGATACCACATCCATCACCAGCGTACTGTGAGTTCACAAAAGTGTGGGGTGTGTGGTGAGTGCGTTCAGTGGGTGAAAGCTGCCTCCCTGTCCTCCCCAGTTCTCCCCAGCAGAGGAACAAATTGACAGGGGACCACAGACTGATAGTGAAAGTGGCCCATTTAATGCAGAGCTGCTAGCATACATATAGGACATCTGAAGGGGGGTAAGGTATAGGACCTAGATGTGATTGATCATTCACAAAGGTAAGGCATTTTGGAGGCAATTCTCTTGTGGGGATTAACTCAAGGAGGTACTCTGTCTCCCAGCAACCTCTATATTGATATTCTCTTTCCCTTTAGTTGTACATGCTAAATAGTTAAGTTTCCTTCTTATTAATACTTGCAGTTATTTTGATAAACACCTTTTAAGAGATATAGGTTCCAAAACTTAGTTCTCTGCCTCCAAGGCAAGCAAGGTTTTTACCGTAAATCCTAGAGTAAGCCCTCAGCCGGTTCACCCTGTCCTTCCCCATGGGGGTCCGGTCTCTTAAATCATAATGACCTGCATCAAGAACATGTCTTTATGCTTTCTAGACTGCCCCATTTTGCTGCCAGGTTAGCTTTGCCGCTTGCCCAGGGTCCATTCCAGTCCCACAATAGGACCTCCCTTTGTCAGGTGTTAGGAACTATGGCAACTGAAGTAATTATGATGGATGCCCAGGAATAGATATATTTTAGAGCCAGTCAGCTCCCAAATATTATGAGCATAGCATTTATGGTCTTTCTGTGTTTAAGCGAAGAACATTGCTCTGTAGTAAAATATGAAAAGGCTGTAGGGAAATAGGAAAGCAAGTAATTAAAACAAATACAAAGTTCAGAGTCTGACTTGGGAAATTGTAAAAGCACAAAGGAAAGGTTAAAGATAAACTCAGGTGATTTGGGATGCGCTCAAGAGCACTGTAGGTTTCTCTGTGAAAGGAAAAGGGGCAATTCACTGATGAAGCCTCAAACACTTAGGGTTAATATGCAACAGGTTAATGCCTCCCTCCCTCCCCAAAGGACCCCGGCTTCCTTCCCTTTCAAACCCCCATCCCAACTCAGTTGTCTGGGTCAGTTCGTCCATTATAGTCCTACCTTGCTGTAGATCTTTGGGTCTCACATATGAGTGAATCATCTTATATCTATCCCTTCCTCCCAACTAACTTAGTATGATAACCTCTAGTTATATTCATGTTGCTGCAAATTGTATGTTTCTGTTGTTTCTTGTTGAGCTGCATAGTATTCCATTGTATATATCCACCACAACTCTTTGGTCTATTTATGTCTAGTTGGGCATTTGGGTTCTTTCCATAGCTCGGCTGTTGTACTAAGTGGAGTGATAAGCATAAGAGTGCATATATCCTTTCAAATTAATGTTTGTATGTTTTGGGGATAGATGCCAAAGAGTAGCATCACTGGGTCATATGGAAGTTCTATTCCTTTTTTTTCTTCTTCTTTTTTTTAATGATACCCATATTTCTTTCCATAGAGGCTGAATGAGATGACATTCCCACCAGCAATAGACGAGGGTTCCATTCTTTTGTCTTTGTCATTGCCATTCCTTTGTCTTTGAGGAAGTGTCTGTTCCTCTCCGCACCTCCAACTGTGAACGGGTTTATTGGATTTTTGTTGTTGTTGGGTTTCGCAAGCTACCCTTTTCTTGCATTTACCAAGCCAGTTTCAGACAGGATACAGTGCATCATGGGATGTTGGCAAATCACATTTGATAAGAATGTGGCATGGGCTAACCCAGAGTCATCTATAAGTAAAAAACATTGATCAGGAAAGTACCGAGATTAAGATGCATGCTTTCCCTGCAACCAACCCTGGTTCAGCCCCTCACTGCCATCACTTAGTTCCCCGAGGATCGTTGGGTGTTTCAATGCAGCTCTGCACTCTCCCACCCCAACCCCCAACCCCCAACCACCACTGGGCTGGACTGGGCTGGACAGGGCAATCCCCACATCCTCAAGCTCGTGCTAAGCATCTGAGCTGGTTGACTGAGAATTAACTAGGCTTGGTGCCAGAGCACCTCTTGGGAGGCCTCTTTACCACACACACACACACACACACACACAAAAGGAAGAAGAAGAAAGAAAGAAAATACTGATCAGACCCATTAAGTAAACTCTGCTGCCCTCAGATTTGGCCCAGCCTCCTTCAAGGTACACCACTTCTGCACAAGTCAAAAAACTAGCCAGGTACTGGTCATCTGTCTTTGAGCTCCGCCCTCTTCCCTCTCTTAGAATCTACCTCCTCAGCTTTCCCAGAGACACAAGCAGCTGTGAGGGAGTTTGCATTCTCATGTTTGGTGGCATACCTGAGGTCACCTGCTCAAGGGATTCTCAGCAGGGTGTCCAGGCTCCTTTGTCCTCTCCTTACTACAGGCGACGGCCACGCATGAAGGATCAAGCTCAAAGGACGGTATATACTCTGCAGTCTTTTTGGTGGCGGGTTATTTGTTTGAAGGTTTTTTCTTTTTTCTTCCTATTTTTTTCAAGGATTCAGGTGCTTTTTGTGTTTTTAGGAGCCATACTGTGATGAACAAAGATCTTCTAAAGTGAATGTAGGGGCTAGAGAGATAACATAAAGGCTGGAGCCCATACTGTGCATAGGGTGACCCCCCCCCCCCATGTCCCATCACTATCTCACATGGTCCCCCAAGTGCCACCAGGAACATCTTGGTGTCCCTTAGCATTGCTGCACTGGATGAGGTGGGAGCCAGACCAGCATCACAGGGTCTCCTACCACTAGGAGCCCCAGCATTACTAAGGGAAGGGCCCCTCAAAATACCTTTCCTTCAAGATTACATTTGTCTAGGTAGGTACAGTGTTCATTGCATTTATAAATTAGATTGTGTGCCCAGAGGTAGTATAGAGGAGGAACCTGGAAAGAGAAAAAAAAATAGATTCTCCGTGGACACAGGTTCCATCTGAGTCAGATCCATGGGCTATGATTGTGGAGCTGACCCCGTGTGAGAACCTGGGGTCCACCCCTGGCAGCTCCCCCCAGAACTCAGAATTGAAGAAAGGACCTATGATAGGAACAAAGCCATTCACATCTGTATCCTTGACTCAAAGAAGCCATAGTCTTGTGGGGAATGGACAGCCGGAAGCAGGTTTGGGATTACGGCCCTCGCCCTGTGCAGGATAACTTGGTTTATTTACTCAGGAGAAACAAGCCCTGAAAACCTTGTCTGTGACCATCGGGTGTCTCCCTCCTCCCACATAGGCGGGCTCCCTCCCAGGGAAGAGGTACCCCTGATTTAGCCGGTGGGGAAGCTCACAACTCTTGGTCCTATCTTGGCTCTTTCATATGCCGCTTTAATTCAGAATAATAAAAGATGCCACTTTGGCACTTCAGTGGTCCGGCCTGCCCTGAAAACCCTGACAGTAGTTTGATGCTGCATTATACAGAAAAAAAGTTGGAGTTTGCCAGGCATCTGAGGGTAACATAAACATCAATCACGTGGGCCAATCTCCTTTGCAGCATTATCCTTACTCCCTATTCTAATCCCTTGATACAGTTGGTAAAGAGGGAAGTTGAGGTCACATGCTGTTGATAAGATGAAATATAGAACTTTTGTCGGCGCTAGAGGTAGTAGGAAGGCAGGCAGAGGGAAGTCTATACTCAGAGTCGTTGAGAAGAAAGCAAGCCACCATCTTAATATTTGATCAATCCACTGGAATGAGCCTTGTAGGAGTACAGTTTGGTCTCTGGTTTTCCAACAAGCATTGGGATCATATACTTGACAGCATATGTTTAAAGTATCCTGTGGGAGGGCTGTTTCCACACCAGCCACACTAGATGACTCATTCCTTTTTCATAAACCACCACAGTGTCATTGTTTTCAAACAGTAACGACTCTCGGCTCACTTATTGTTTCTCTGATACAGTTCTTAAGCGCTAGAGAACAGGAGCGCTTATCTCAGGAAATGGAGTGGTAATTACTGGTCAATAAGCTAGGATTCTTGTTGTGTATTAATCAGTTTCTGTTGTACAATTACAGATTCCCTCTCCCCCCACCCTCAACTCTCCCAAAGTAAAGCGTTTATGTGAAATCTTTCCTTAGCTGACATTCTTTCAAGCAAAGAAGCAACTGCCATTTATTTGGAGAAATTTTGAGCGTTCCCAGTCCCTTAAAATTAGCATACCAAATAACACAGAAACCCTGAAATAACTGGAACGTTAGAGTAAAAGCAGGAATGGTGTGACAGATATGCATCCCTATAAAGTCACCCCAGGAGGAGGAGCTTGGCAGTGCCATTCTCGATACCTGGGATTTGTGTGAGCTCTAGAGCAGGTTCTGCCAAATAGGTTCTGAACAGCCTGGGAGACAGCTCAAGGAGATTCCTAAATTCCACACCCAGTACTGCATGCGAGCAGCCCCCAAATGCAACACTAGGAGTAGTCCCTAAGCCCCACTGGGTATGGCCCCAATTTTTTTCTTTAGTGCTAAATGATAATTTTCACTTTGGGCCTTTTGTCATAAAAGTGAAAATCCTTGGGCGTTTCTTTCACTTGGAAAAAAACAGGTACTTAATTGAGAAATATCTTTGGGCCAGATAATGGCACGCGGCCAACTCAGGTTCATCCCCAGAAATTCCTTTGCTTCCCTGAGTAACATCAGGAGGGATCGATAAGCACAGAGCCAGGAGTAACCCCACAGCACAAGCCAAAAAACCTTTAACTTAAAAATAGATAAATTGGGCTGGAAAAATAGTACAGTGGGTGGCATTTTTGCATTGCACGCAGCTAACCCGGGTTTGATCTCCAACATCCCATATGGTCTCATGAGTATGCTAGGAATAATTCTTGAGTACAGAACCAGGAGTTACTCTGAACATTGCCAGTTGTGGCCCCAAAACAATATCAACAAAATAGAAATATTTTTGCTGGCTCATCAAAATGGCAGTTCAATCTCCTTTGATTCCCTGATTGCTGTTCACTCAGTGTCCACAGATGCCAGGTTTCATGAGCTCCTGAGAGACCGGGCTGACTGTGGACTGAAGTTTTCCATCTTAGTCGCCTCTTGTGCATAGTGGCTCTAGGTCAAGTTTTCCTGCACTTTTTTTTATTTAATTGAGGCAGCATTAGATTGATAAGAATCATTATTTGATAACATTTTGTGTAATAGTCACTGCAGTGAGTCAGGTTAATATAGTGATCATACTCTTATAACTTTTGTGTGTGACGAGAACTCTCAAACCTACTCTCTCAGCACTCAGAGAAACTTCTGGAATGTGTGCGCAGGTTATGGTGATAAAAGAGAGCATGTCAGTGTGATGAGGATGATGAAGAGCAAGCACTTCCAGGTACAGAGCGGTTGTGAGTGTTCTGTAGGAGAGGAACTCAATATGTGTGCCTCCCACTGCTCTGCCCTTGCTCTTCCAGTGGTCCTTGCCCCTTGAGTGGAGTCAGTCTTTAGACTAAAGTCGGACTTATGCTTCTTTCTAGGTATCATTTATCACTGTGATCTTACCAAAGAGGAACTGGAGCCAAGAGTCTTCCGAGAAGTGACTGTAAAAGGGATCGATGCTTCTGATTACCAGACAGTCCAGGTATTGAGCATTGGGTCTCTATCACGTGAGGGTTTGAAAATTAGACTCACAGGGTGGGGCCAAGTCAAGTTCCATCCTGGCTGGTCAGGAGCATAGGAGGAAAAATCCACAGCCGGACAGTTATGTTCATGGTCCAGAGGGGCCTGGTTCTTGCCGGCCAGGACCACTGTTCCCAAGGGCAGCCGGAGTCTCCCACTGGAAAGTCTCCACACAGTAGCCCTCAAGGCAGCACTGCTTGATGTACTGTGGCTCAGATATTTCAGTGTTGAAAATAACTATTCAGGTTTGTTCTACATCAATTATTCACTCGGATGCTGGGAGTCTATCTCTTCGGTCTAAGGTTCAGATGTATTTCTGCCTGGCACTCTGCAAAATATCGGATGGATGGATGGATGGATGGATGGATGGATGGATGGATGGGTGGATGGATGGATGGGTGGGTGGATGGATGGGTGGATGGGTGGTTAGGTGGATGGATAGAAGAATGGACGGACAATGGACAGACATGGCGAAACAAGATGAGTGTCTGCTGACCATTCCTCCAGGTTGAGTTTTTTCAGCTCCTCGAAGGTCACTAAAGAATGCAGTGAGACCTCGATGGATGAGGTATGCCTCAGGGTGCTGTCACGTAGGCACTGGAGCACACAGACCACAAGAGGCAGTGGCGGTGGTATAGGCTGGTTAGAACAAAGAGCACCTGAGAGTGTTTCTAGGAAACCGGGACATTGGCGTACGGTGTGCCCCTTCATCTTCTGAAAACGGTTGCAAGGGTAGGCTGGCTCTTGTTCAGCATAAATAAAGCTCTATTTTCAGAAACCAGGACAGCGGAATGTCAGCCGCTGTTCTATGCTGAGTTGGCAAGCAGACCTCCTGTTTCACCGAGAACAGGCCAGATCCAGGTGTTTATGGGGTCCACAGTTGCCATAACGCTTTCCCAGAGTGGGTGCAGTTGTCCAGCTCATAAGGGCTCAAGTGCTTGCTTCATATTTGGCTCTTGAGAGCAAAGTTTGCTGCTCCGTGGTCTGTATAATTAGTGTCTGTAGCATCAGAACATGGTCCTTAGCCACACCATCCCACATGGTCCCCAGAGCACCGCCAGGAGTAACTCCTGAGTACAGAACTAGGAGTAACCCTTATGCATCTCCGGGTGTGACCCAAAAAAAAAACAAAACAAAACAAAAAAATGTTTGGCTTTTTGTTTTATTGTTCAGGGAGAGCTGTTGTGTGGTGAGGTGCTCAGCAGGGGGCTCCAGCCACCCCTGGCCTGTGTTTTGTGACACTGGTAGTTCATGAATTCACAGCTCCGTCATTACTACTGAACCATACTACTGTGTTCAGCGTGAAAAATCCCTATGGGTCTGTCGTTTTTGATGTTTTTCCCGTTTTGCCACCTATAGGAACATGGGTCCTAAAACTTTTGGCCTCCTCATCATCTGCTTGCAATCCATGCCAGGACGTCCCCAGAGCTGGGGCGGGTGTAGAAATCAAGGACAAGTGTTGACTATTTTCTCTCTTCTTCTGATCTCAGAGTTGCAATCATGGCCCCCTTAGACCTGAGCAGTTGCCTCTGAGAGAGACAAACCCTCCTCTACTCAACCCATCTTCCCTCATCTCCGCCATGCACCTCCTCCACTTCACAGTGTGTGTGTGCGCGCGCACACACACACACACATAATTTGGGAAGCCACACCCATTGGTGCTCAGGAGTTCCTCCCCACTCAGCACTTGGGAATCATTCACGTGGTCCTCCGGGGACTGGGGCTCAAACCCAGCCTCCAGCATGCAGAGCCTGTGCTCCGGCCTTGCGAGTGCTCAGCCCCCACTGCTGTATATTTTTAAACATCACTCTCCTCTCATTTACCTTGCCATAAACAATTAGTTCCTAAGAAGGGGGAGGAACAGGTGGTGCTGGCAGGAAGGCCATGTCCCACACCAGAGTGACCCAAGTAGCATCTATGTCCACTAGCAGGGCTTTGTCTGTTCTCTTCTAGGGATGTGCTTTCCCAGTGTTCCCCAGGACAAAGATACTCATCACCCTCTCCTGTGTACTGTTTCCATCTAGAAATGGAGGCGGGGGCAGGGTGGAGACTTGACAGATGCAGGTGTTTGTATAAAGTAGAAACCCCACAGCCCTGGCCCCACTCACCAGGAGACTGCAGAGCCCAGCAGAGCAGCAGCCGGCCTGGGTGGTGGTGCTGCTGGCACCGTGGTCGGAGAACTCCCAGCTCACTTGTGCCTGGCTCTCCGCAAAGAGAAAACTCCCCTCGCATTGGGCTGTTCAACACCCTTTATCAGTACCACGGAGAAGTAGGTGGAAGGCCCGTAAAGAGAGTAACTGTCTCCACGCATTTCTCTGTATGGATCCCAGTGCCGTTCTGCTCACTCCCATGGTCATAGAGAATAGAGAGCCTGTGCATCGAGTCCAGCTCTGTGTCATGCCGAGAGAAAGTCTTAGGGTGACCTGTTGAAATAAATGCGTCGGATGTTTTGCTTTGGATGTTTTGCAGTGGCTGCTTAAAAGAACATTTTCTCATTGTGTGAAAATGTGCTGCAATGTCCCACCAGCAAAGACGAGTATCCCTTGAAACCCCTATGGTGTGAAGCCATGCAGCCACATGTTGGTGTGCGTTGTGAGCATGACCGATGTGCTTGCGTTGAGATTAGACTCTCAGCTGCGTTGGCTGACTGGCTGTTGTAAGAGCCGGCCCTTGGGAGGGGTGTGTGCCTGGGTGGGAAGTAATGTGACAGTGTGCAACAAAAACTTCAGCTGTTTTGAGGAAAAAAAAAAAGAAGAAGAAGAAAAGAAAATCATTTTGTGTTCAGTTATAGATTTTAGATCAAGGCCCCCTTTTCATTCTGCTTGACCCCAGTTTCTCTGTATCTATGGTGTGATTTTCTTTTTTATCTTTTTTTTTTTTAGACGATTGCCCTGGCTCTCTCCATCTCTGGAGCAGCCCGTATTCTCCCTTAAGCTCGTAACTTCTCTCTCCCTTTGCTCTCCTTCCTTCCCCTTCCTACAAACTTCTAAATAAAATCTGTTTTTACTTCCAAAAAGAAAAAAAGATGATTGCCCTGGGCTGTTACCATTCAGTGAAGCAGATTATCATTTGTAAGCAAATGTTGCATCCCGGATCCCCCTGCTTGATCCTCCCTGCAGTGGTCTGGTTCTGGCCAGACACGTCTTCCTGATGGGGGGCTGGGAAGGTTGATGAAGTGAGAAGGCCGCACAGAGATACACCTGTTGTGAGTCAATCCCAGGGGACCGCTCTCCACGTCACCCTCCTGTGTAAGAGAGCTGTCACTGACATGGCCGTGATCTCGCACCCCCACTGCCAGCCATGGGAGAAAACCAGTATCTGTCGGGACTCTCATTTTAGAAATTAGTTCCTGAAAGAAGTATTTATTTTCTGGCCTGTCTGGGGGTACAGTGGAGAATTTCATTTTAGGATTATCAAATCTGCTGCTGACAAATCTTACCTAGTCTTCCTTCTTACTGTAAATGACTCGGACCACTGTTATTGATTAGCACCTCTGCTCTTCGTGACTTTTAAAGGAAGTCGATGGGTTCAATTCCCAGCACCATACCAGAAAGTAAATGAAAATCATAAATAATAAAAATTGAAATAATGAGCATTAGGGGTTATGTAATTTGAATAACATGCTGGGTGATAATTTATCTCTAGAATCATTCTACATTTGTAACCAGTATTGTTTTATTTATTGTTTATTAATGATTTATTTACTATTATTTCATTTCATTACTGGTGCCCGCTCGAGCAAATCAATGAACAATGGGAGGATAGTGCTACAGTGCTGTTGTTCCATTTATTTTTACTTTTTTATTTTAAATTTAGTAGTGCCAGAAATTGAACCCAGGATTTCATACAGATGAGACTGGGGTCTGCTCCTGAGCCGTTTCCTCGGCCCATCTCTGTTATTTAAAACCAGAGGCAGTAATTGGGTGGGCAGTGGTAATATGATTTAGTTGGCCAACAAATAAAAGTAATGAGCAGCATGAGGTACTGTTTGCGGGGGATTTCCAGGCAGGGCACTGGGAAATTTGTCATCAGTCTAAGGGGGTTGAATCATAACCCCTCTGAAAGGTCAGGCAGGCAGTGGATGTTAGCCTCGAGATGAAGGAATGATGCTTTGACCAACTTGGCATTCCAGAGCACTGGCTAGCCAGAGGGAGGAGAAAGTTCTCCCTGGAGAGGCAGAAGCTGGCAGGGCTTTGAGGGATGAGTGTTTCTATAGCTCCCGATTCTTGAATTATTTAATCATCACCCTTCACTCAGAGACTGCACCCTGCCTTTTCATTGCAATGTCATTTCAAAATTTCACAGTAAATCTGAGAAGAAAGGAGTTGGCACCTTGGTATGCTGTATGTTCAGCGTTTTTGTCAATTGTCTCGTGGATGAAATAGAGTTTGCACCGTGGTGGAACGCAGAATTACAAAGGAATGTAGCGTAGCAAAACGTCCTTTCTGGTTTCTCGGTATCTCATTTTTGTTCAGCCAGCTGAGAGATTGACTTTTTCTCCTTCTAAAAGGAAAGACAAACTTTATAGACCAGAAAAAAGAACAGGGAACTGAATGTGCTGTGGATAAACTCGATGAGCAAGTTTCCACATTTTGTAAAAGACAATAAATTGGAAGAAGGCCTCAGTTTTATGGGGTAAGAGCAAACTTAAATCAGTATCATGGAAAATAGCAAGAATTGTAAGTCGTGTAGACTTTATCATCTCGATTCCTGTTCTGTATAATTGGGCAGAAATAACCCCACCTGAGCGTCACAAACGGGATGGGCGTGCATAAGAACCAGCGGGCCCATCCCAGAAGCAGTTGGCTATATTGCTGAACAGAAAAAGTTAAACTTAGGTCATTCTTTGCATTTACCAGGATATCTTGGGGGGAAGAGTAGTGGGAATTTTTCTGTAATTTGCTCTAGACTTTTCAAACCTGGGGGATAAGTAATTAAGAATTGCCAGCATGTCAGCTATGC